GCGCGCGCGCACACACACACACACACACACACACACACACAGTCACAGACATTTGAATCAGATTTCTGGCCTATTTCCCCTTCCAAAGATTCCAACAGGCCGGCTCTCTCTTGTGTCTCTGGGTCTCACGTCTCTGTCTCTGGGTGGGGCCGGCTGCCTTTCTTTGGGCTTCAGTTTTCAGTTCAGCTGGAAACCTCTCTCCCTGCACGCCCACAGGCTGGAGCGCAGGAGACCACTGGGGAACGGGCTGTGGGAGTGGGGGCTTGGCTGGAGGGAATCCCCCTTTCGGTCTGCCCGGTGCCAGCCACATGGCCGAGCCCCCGTCTCCCACCCTACCCCCTGGGAGTGCCGTTTCCCATAGACGCCAGCCTCTCGTAGGGTGGACCAGACTAGGATCCCACCTTCCCAACTCATACTGGGAGGCCAGGATTCCTGGGACCAGGCCCGTCTCCTCCTCAGTGCTGCGCAGTCTCAGATTTCCAGGCCCCAGTTGGGAAGGGGGGCAGCTGGAGGGCCTGCTTCCCTTCTCAGTCACACCCGGGCCCCCACGTGCCCCTGGAGGTGCCCCCCCTCCTCCCTCCTCTACCCACCCCCCTCTCCCTTACAGCTGCCAGGCTAGGCAAGGGCACTAGATAAAGCCCCACGGAGAGGACTCAGTTGGGCAGATAACACGCTCCAGGAGGAGGAGGGATGGAAGTGTGTTTCCTCGCCCTGCCATTTCCTTTTTCTCTGCTTTTGATGGTGGGCTGTGGGGAGAAGAAAGCCTCCCCTCTCCTACCCACCTCCCCCTTTGGGATCCACTCCAGCCCGGACAGTCACCATAGCAACAGTAGACATGTGACCGCACAGGTCTCTCATAGTCACTATGGCAACCAGTGTCCCCCGTTCCCTTGGTTGCCATGGGGATTTGTCACATGGTTTCCCCCCAACCTGATAACCTGTGGGTCCTCCTGCTTTCCCTTCCCTGCATGAGGACAAGACAGCAGTCTGGCTAAGGGGAGTTCATGTGTGAGGGGTCCCTTTTAGTTGCCATAGCAACAAATCCACACCACCTGGTGACACATCCTCCTGTTGTTATGGCAACAGAGGAACATCACACAGTGACATAAGGCCATGTTCCCAAGGAAACAAGCCCTACCCTGAGAAGGGTGAAAGACCCCCATCCCCACTGATTACTTCCCAGTTCAGATTGTCCCAAATTTCCCCCTGCTTTGGTGTCTTCCCTTGTCCGTTTACATTTCCCTGAAGGGAAAGGGGAAGGTAGAGAGCAGACAGGATGTACCTGGGAGTAAAGCTAAATTGCCAGGGGGGTTTCTGTGGTTAAGAGCTGGAGATGGGGTTATTTGGAGGTAGAATCTAGCTATAAGAGGCGCCAGTGTGAGCATGTGTAAGGTGGGGACAGGAGTCCCAGCTCCTCTGTGGTGTCACTTCTGCCCCTCACTCCCCCCACGCCCACCCCAAGTTATCAATTTATCACTGTTGAGGCAGACAAGGCAGGAAAACATGAATGGGGAGATACACCCGGTTTCTAAGCAGGGAGATTGATTGATTGCTTGCTTGCTTGATTGATTGATTCATTCATTCATTTTCCCAATGCATTGACCATCGACTACGGGACAGGCACTAGTGTAAGCTTCGTACGAGCTGTAAAATCAGAGTGTGCCTGCCTCAGCAAGGGAGACAAGACTAGTGCACAGATGGCTTGGTGGAGTCACTGCCATTGGAGGGGTCCAAACAGGTGTTCCAGGAGCTTTTCCCAATGGAACTACCCACATTCCCCCTTGCGGAGGTAACTGCTCAAATGGGTCCCTTTCTGCCGAGGACAGGAGGGGGTAGCTCGGGGCAGGCAGACTGGTTCTTGAGGGTAATTGTGTCCTGCTCTTTCCCGATAATCACCCTCAGAGAGCTCCCTCCCTATCCTCCTTTTTCCAAGGTGACCCCTGGCTGACCCCATTCTGGGGAGAGATCCATTGGGCTCAGGCTCCACTCTGGAAAACAGCTCCATGGAAACAGAGCACTCTTTATTTACCTCGTCCATCTACTTACCCCAAAAACCTAGAACTATTTTTTTTTTTTTTTTTTTTTTTTTTTTTTTTTTTTTTTTTTTTTTACTCTTATTCTTGTGAGGAGGAGGTGGAGGCAGGGGAAACTGTAGTGCCTCTGCCCACGTGGGTGCCTGTCAGTGGGCAGGGATGTGAAGGCAAACCGCCTGGGTGGCAGAGGAGGCCTGGGAGGGGGGATTGAGGGCATGGCGGGCCGTTGCAGAGTGGGGTGGCCTGAGCCTCAAGATGGAGATGGGGAGCGGTGGCTGGGACCAGCTGGGAGGAAAGCCCTGGGGTTCCCTGACAGAGCCTTCTCACTCCAGAAGTGGGGCCCTGACAGGAAGATTCCACCTGCTGTAGGCCCTTTGCGCCCCACAGTCTGGCTTCGTGGGTCATGCCATGGGCCGCCATGACACCCTCCTCACCTCCAGCCCCGAGGCCCCTCCTCCGCCCAGTCTCCACTCTCTCCTCCTTTCTAGCCTCTTTGTTTCCCCCACTCTGCATTGTCTTTGAGAAGAATAGGAGGCTGGCTCACTTCTTTGTCAGTCTGGTGTCCAGAACCTTCTAAGGTCCAGAAGCCGCTTTGTACATCCTCCTGTTGATGGGCTGGAAGTGAGTCCCTTAATAAAACCCACTATGTGGAAAAACTCAGGGCCTGTGTGTGCAGGGTACGTTCTACTCTGTGTGGGCTGGGGACTTCTGTCTAGCACAGGGCCTGATGTGGAGTGGGTCCTCGTTACTTAAATGCGTGAGTGTGTTTGGAGGCGTCTGAGGGCTTCGGGGGGCCAGGGGGCTGGTGGGTGGTGGGAGAGGCAGGCTGAGGCCGTGTTGTGGTGAAGGACCCTGTTGTTTAGTTCCGCCTGTCTGTCTGGTGCCAGGACGGTCCTGACCCCTCCCCCACAGGCCTGGGCAACTATGGAAACAAGTCTCCCAGATGGGGGACTTGGACACCTCAGTCTCATCCTGGCTTCTCCCGTGACCTTCAGCACATGACTTTGGCCCTCTGGGCCTCCGGGTGCTTGGGTTCTGGGGAAGGAAATGGTCTACCCCCGCTACCTCACGGGGCTGTTGCGAGCCTCAGATGTGGCATGGCGTGAAGGTGCTTGGTAAACTGTAAGGCAGGCATAATCCGACTTTAGGTTTGTGTCACACATTCACATACATTATCTCATTTGCTTCTCACATCTTCCCCGTGAGGTAGGGAGAATAGGATTCAGATTCAGCAGCACACTCTCAGTGTCTGGCATTTCCACAAGCTCGATCGATTTTATCCCCCGAGTGGCTTGTGCAAATAGTCAGGGTATTTGTGGCTTTTCCTACTGCACCGCCGAGGAGTCTGGGTCCAGTGGGGTGACGGCCAAGGTGGGCCCGGACCTGGGGTCGGTCAGACATGTGAGCCGGGGTCCTCCCTTCGCACCTGGCTCCACCTCAGATTGGGGGGGTGGGGGTCGTGGAGCGGGAGGCGCAAGGGCAGGTGCGGGGCACGAGGCACGGGCGCGGCTCCAGCCCCGGCCAGCTGTTTCCTTGACCGCCTGGATACCTGGTTTGAGCGCATCAGCATGTTGGTTATCCTTCTCAACTGTGTGACCCTGGGCATGTTCCGGCCATGTGAGGACATCGCCTGTGACTCGCAGCGTTGCCGGATCCTGCAGGTGAGTGTGTGTGCGTGGGGCGGGCGGGGGCGGGGGGGGGGAGGGGAAACCCCTCCCCCTTCTCAGTTTCCAAAACCTCTTGTCCCCACGTCAGGCCTTCGATGACTTCATCTTTGCCTTCTTCGCCGTGGAGATGGTGGTGAAGATGGTGGCCTTGGGCATCTTCGGGAAAAAGTGTTACCTGGGAGACACTTGGAACCGGCTTGATTTCTTCATCGTCATTGCAGGGTGAGGGCCTGGGCTGGAGGTGGGAGAGCAATGACCAGATCAGCCCCGACCCCAGGGCCAGGGTTCTAGGCCCCAGCACGGCCCCCACCCCCGGCCCCTGCCCAGCCCACTTACAACGATGCTTTCTCCTTGGCTGTCCACTAAGGGTCCGAGGCTGTCCGGACCCTCGAGCCTGGACGGTCCTGGTGGGCGAGACAGTGCCTGTGACACTCGAGCCTGTACTTCTGAATTCCATGGCCCCTGAATCCGTCCCCTCCTCTGTTTATTCTCTGATGGGGAGCTGTCCTTGGCTTGGGGGTGGGCCTTGCCCCCAGACAGAGAGCCGGCTCTTCAGGGCCCCTTGGTGGAGGTGGGGGAGGGGTCAGAGGCTGTGCTGCCCCACCGCAGCAGGATTCCTCATTGACCTCTTTTGACCCCCACGGCGGCCTCAGACTCAAAGGGCCTCCCTTTGGGCCCCTCCCTGCAGGATGCTGGAGTATTCGCTGGACCTTCAGAACGTCAGCTTCTCAGCTGTCAGGACAGTCCGTGTGCTGCGACCGCTCAGGGCCATTAACCGGGTGCCCAGTGAGTGACCCCTTGGCCCTCAGCCCCTGCACAGGGAGCCCCAAGAGGAAATATGGAACCCCCAGACCCCACCCCTACCTTCTGACCACTCATAGGCCTGGCGTTCTGAGGCAGACCTCATCAGAGAAGGGCTCGGGATGGGGGTGGGGGAACCAGGGCCCCTGGAGCCGAATGGAGCCCCCACACCTGGCTGTGGCACTGGGAGAGTTAGCGGGAAAGACCCTCCCCCTTGTTTCAGACTGATTTGGGGTCAGAGTCTCAGAAATGTCTCAGATGACCCCTCCCTTCAGCTAAAAGATCACTCCCTGCAGCGGAAGGGGGGTGGAGAGTGGGAATGAGGAGAGGCCGGTAGGCCAGGAGGAGTGGGGACAAAGCGTAATGGCCTTTCCTAGCCAGAATGGCCTCTCACGCAGTCTGGTTCTCATTGGTGAGCCCACACTGGCCACACCGAGCATGACTTCTCTCAAAGCAAGGCCACTCCATGTCTCATGCTCCGCCTGTGTCCCCTTCCTCCTTCCCACTCCCTTCCAACCCACTGCCGCAACTGACTGCCGGGACCATTATCTAAATTAAACCGCATTGGTTTCCCGAGCCAGCCAAGCTTTGGCAGCCCTAGCTCCCCCTACATCCTGCCACCCCCCCCCATTCTTACTCAGGCCCCCTATGCAACTCCCCAACCTACACAAGCTGCAAATGGTCTCCACTGCAGTTCCAGAAATGAGGGGTAGGGGCATGTTTGGGGGTTTCTGTGCCTGATGTAGCAGCAACCCCCTGTGCGGTGCGGTGCGTGCGTGTGTGCGTGCGCACGTGCGCGTGTGTGTGTGTGTGTGTGTATGAGATGCGGCTGCTTTCGGGTGGGCAGAGCTGCTCGGTGTGCTGGGGTGTTAGTGTTAACGGAAGTTCTGGACGAGGGACAGGCTATCACCCCCGCTCCCACCCCAGGTGATGGTTGGCAGATTTATAGGCCGCTGTCTAACCACCGGTGTAATTCCCTTAATGCAAACCCTGAGGAATTGATCTCAGTTGGAGCACAGAGGAGCCGAAGGAGGATGGGGCTGGAGGGCTGGGGGCGGGGGTGGTGGTGGTGGTGAGGGACTGAGTGAGAAGTCCGGGCCAGAATGGCTGGGCAGGGTGGCTGCAGTCACCAAGAGGGTTAATTGGCTGCTGCTTAGAAGCTTTTTCCCTGGAGGGGCAGGGGGCCACGAGTGGCACTTTGGGGGTCAAACCGGTCATTAGAGGTCTGTGTGCTTAACAAGGGCTTAA